GGATACTGATCTTCCAGGAGAGCATCAGCTATTCTGAATCATGTCACTATGTTCTGAAAGAGTCTATCTTTCTAAAGCTTTTCCTGACATTAGTCTTTCCATACCTGTTTGAAACTTCTCTCTTGGTAATGGTTCTTGGAAGGCACAGGCAGAATTAGTGTGGAAAAGAGCTAAATGTTTTCTGACCAAACTTCTGGCAATGTGGATGTGCATCTACAGCACTTGCACCTTCTAGACCAAATGCACTAGTGATCAAAACTCATAATGAAAGTGAAGGTGCAGCCCCTATTCCGAAGTAATGGATATCACATTCACCTGGGAGGAGGAAACATTGAAGCAAAAGCTTTCTTATTATCCATGCAAATTTGACAGCTTGCACAACACAGTGCAAAAAGGCAGCAGAACCCAAACAAACTCAAAGTAACCCTGGCAAAATGGAAGATGCCATTAATTCCTTATCATAAAATGTATTTTCTAATGATGTGCTGAAGCTGCAAGTTTTCTTCCTTAGCCTGAAGAATTCTGAATCTCCTACAGGACGATGCTGTATAACCTAAATATCATGGCTGCAAAACCCATCAGCACTATCTTTAGGGCTGCCTACATTGACTTCACCAGTTCTTTTAGTTTTCCTTAGAGAAATGGCTCTTTGATGAACATGTCATCTTCAAACTGAGGCAAAGCACTTTCCAGACTACTGTTGACTCCTCCAATATGAACTTCACAGTTAAGTATATTCTACTGTAGACAAGAGTATAGACAGTACAGATTTTGCCTTAGAATAAAGGATCCAAGGAGACTTGTTAACTTATTGATTTTACAATATAGGGCACAGTTACCACATTTGTTCTTTACTTTGACACTCCAGATATCAACCACTACCAAGAAGAGAAATAACTGTAAGAAGCTGATATTTATAGTGATACTCTGCTCTGTCCAAGCAACAGACTCCTTTATCATGGAACGATGACCCCTGCTAAAGCAATTCATTCATTGCTACTCTCTGGAATAGCAGCTTCCTCTGAAATACACAGTTCCAAATGCTATACTTCTATATGCTATAGAACTATGAACTGCACTGAGACGAGTTAGGAGGAGATGCCATCCATGGAGGAATACCCTTCTTCATCCATGTAGTCACTATGACATGGGGGTGCCCTTTGGAAATCCTAGTAAGATCTTCCTACTACACTGCGCAAAGCAGCTTTTCCACTGGGTGACACTTGAAAATCCAGAAGCTTTTGCATCTACAGGAATGCAGTGGCTTTCCCTCGACTCACTTAAACTCTAGGAAAAATACCATGAAAGGGGTTCCTTTGTGTAACTTGAGAGTATAGTTTAAAAGGGGGAAGACTGCTCACAGCTGTGTGTGTATTCTTACCCACCACCCTCACCTGTGCTTAGCACTGAGTGCCTGGTTTGTACCTCAACCCATACAAATAGACTTCTGTTATCACAGAGCATGGCAAACACTCCAGTCATATCAGTACTGCTGGGGCTCACCCCTGAGCATGCAGCTCAGTTGCTTTTATTATTAAATAGACATTGTACTTAACCATTTCACTTCCAGTGTTGCACAGCTCTCCTTTAAGGGACCATCTACATGTTTTCATAGCAGTTTTATAGCCTTAATTCAGAGCTGGTGATAAATAAAGCCATTCCCAAACTTAGAAATGCCGAGAGCCAAGAATCACAGCTTATCAAATCTCCAAAATAAATAAAGCATGTGTCAAACTTGCCTATCCACTGGCAAGGGAATGCCATGAACACTAGTATCTGATTGTTGATAAGGGAATGTGAATGTTGTGAAGTGTTGACTGATACAGCACTCAAGGGAATGGAAAAGAGAAAGTTGTGGAAGATGCAAAAATGTGTCAGCTGATATTTCAGTTGGACCTTTTTTTTCTGGTTCAGTGAAGATAGTGTCCTTATGGGTTGCAGATGAGAATAACTCCCAAACTTCTGGAAAAATCAGTTTTAGGAGTTTTATTCTAGTGGTTTTGTGGTGTTGCTCTGTGGTGATGGACAGTCTGAGTAAGGTGAGCAAGGTTTTTTTAAAGTTCATGTTAGGTTTGGTTCCCTTGGCTTTTGTTTTTGTGGTTACAGATACTTTTCACCTTTGACAAAGTATACACTTTGTTCTCTTAATTAGAACATCCAAGAGCTGATGTAACAGAATTGATAGTTTGGTCTTTGGCTTGTTCTTTACTCCATTTATTCATCTGTAAGTACAGGCAGTTGCATTCAAAGGGGAAAATTTTTCATCTTTTTTGTTTTGTTTTGAGTACCTTTCCATGCATCTCAAGGCTTCTCTTTGCTTTTCAGTACTTTCTCTCTAAGAATTGTACTTCTTGTTCTCATAGGGTATGTCAGTCACTCAGTCTGTTGCTAGTAAATCAGCCAGGATCATTTCCAGTAACAGAGGCCAGTGTCATGATGCACTAGCACTGGTATCCCACAATTATAAATAGATTTTTGCATGGACCTCAAAAGGATAAATAGACTTTCAGGGTTACTGCAGTCATATAGGAGAAGAATAACAACTCTAAAAACTAATGCCAGGACCCAGTGTTTGGTTATTCAGAGGACTGTTTTTAAACTCAAAGGGCTTGACTTAATTTTTTTTTTAAGTTTTATTTTATTTGCTTCTCTCCAGCACGTGGACAAACTACTGCTACCCAGCATGTGCTTTACTGTTGTTGATAGTTTTTAGGAGGGAAAGGGAAAGTTTCACTATTATGGTTATTTTTGTTTTTCACGTGGTTGTGTCCTTTTCCCAGCTTCTGTCCCCACATAAGCACAGATCCATGATGTGTGTGTAAGAAGCCTCCCTATATTCTGTGTGTAAGAAATCTGCTGATTGAATCAAGCAAGAACCATTTCAGTCAGAGGGACCCAGCAAGTATTTGAGAATACTTCATCTGGGCTTCCTTGAGTGCAAGAGTTTTTAGCAGTGTATTAAGAACATATGTGCTATTTTTAAGGAAAGAGTTGTATAGTCAGAAAACAGTACTATTGGCCTTGATGCACATGCTAAGCCTCATCTCCCTCCTTGCCATCTTTTAGGATACAGCAAGTCAGGGGGGAGGCCTGTAAAAATTTCACAGAGTTTTTTGACTTGGGGATTTAACAGACAGCTTCTGGTGAATCTTGATATGGTACCTTAAACTCTCTCCTTAACCTGCAACTCTTTGCTGCATCTCTGCTTGAGGTTTCTGCCTCTAAGCTGAGTCAAGGGAAGTGTTTGAGGTTCAGCCATTGTAATGTGAAGCCCAGTGTTTTAGCTTTAAACACTGATGAAAACATATATATCTTCTCCTCATAAATAATAGGTTTGGAAAAATGCAAAGCAGAACTAGTAGACATGTGTGGCTAGGGCTCAAACCATCACATCACAGGTCCGTTTGATTTTTGCCTGTAATTGCATAAGCCTCCTAAACTTTGTTCTGCTAAAAAACCAAAAAGAAGCAGAAGCCTCACTGACTTTATGGATGGTAAATAAACACAGGGTCACACGCTCACAAAAGTTTGGTTTTGGCTAAAGAAACTTCCTGTGTCACATTTCCCAAGGACTTTATGTCATATACTAATGGAGGCATTACATCCTCAGAACATTTCTGTTGTGTAAGTGCTGTTTCCCATTTTTCAAGGGTAGTTCAAGGTACTGAAACATCGTTTCCTTTTAGAAGTTTTGGGATGACTTGCATGGATGTAGTAAAACATCTGAGCTGCAAAATAGAGCATATTTGATTTGATCTCCTAGTCTAAGCTGTGGAAGTTTTGGAGGACTAGAGCACAAAATGACCGTGTTATGCCTATGTGTTTGCTCAGCACTCCCACTTGTAAGGCTCTGGTTTCAACTGATTATTGTGTGCCAGCTTTTAACCATTCGGCCTTGGCACTTCCATGGCATGTTTTCCCAGTAAGTGTCACTATTAGGCTGAATGAAGCTTTCCAGAAACAGCAAAAATGATTCAGCTTTCTAAGATAGGAAGGTGAAAAAATATTTTTTGCCCATGTGTCCAGAAAACACCTCATAGTCTCTTCGTTAAGTAGTTATTGATATTTATTTATTTATTTTGAATCTGACACATGAATTGCTGTGGTGTCAAGGATTTCCTTATTTTTTCTGATCTGGGAAAAAAAGTAAATTTTGCATACGTGCTGACTGGAGCCTTGTTAGAGTCTGTCATATTAAATTGGCATCTATGGACAAAACAGAGGATACTTTGAAATGCCTGAGGGATGGGATGCCATCCAGAGAGACCTGGAAAAGCTCAAGAAAAGGATCCATGGCAACCTTATGAGGTTCAACAAGGCCAAGTGCTGCACCTGGGTTGGGAAAATCCCCAGTATCAACACAGGCTGGGGGATGAAGGGATTGAGAGCAGCCCCATCAGAGAAGGACTTGGGGGTGCTGGTGGGTGAGAGGCTGGACATGACCCAACAATGTGTACTTGCAGCCCAGAAAGCCAATTGTATCCTGGGCTGCATCAAAAGTAGCATGGCCAGCAGGGTGAAGGAGATGATTCTGCTCCTCTAGTCTGCTCTGGTGAGACCCCACCTGGAATGCTGCATCCAACTCTGGGGTCCCCAGCACAGGAAAGAATGGATGCAGAGGAGGCCATGAAGATGATCAGTGGGCTGAAGCACCTCTCCTTGTGCTTCAGGCTGAGAGAGTTGGGGTTGTTCAACCTGGAGGAGAGAAGGCTCTGGGGAGACCTTAGAGCACCTTCCAGTACCTAAAGGGGCTACAAGAGGTCTGGGGATGGACTGTTTAGGGTCTGTTGGGACAATACAGGGGGCAATGGTTTTTATGCTGAAGGAGGGTCGACTTAGACTAGATTTGTCTAGAGGAAATGTTTTACAAGGGTGATGAAACACTGGAACGGGCTGCCTGGATCAGGTGCGACGGGGCTCTGAGCAACCTGATCTAGTTGAAGATGTCCCTGCCCATTGCAGGAGGCTCGGACTAGGGACCTTTAAAGGTCCCTTCCAACCCGCCAGACCACCGTGTGACTTTGTGAAACCTGACGTCTCTGTGCCTGTCCCCGTCTCGCCTGAAGCACAGGGGAGCGCTCCTTTACCGGCAGCACCGCTCGGCGGTACCCGGGCGAGCTGATGCGACGCTCGGCGCAGGGCCGCCCTTCCCTGGGGAGATCTCCCTGTCTCCTCGCTTCCCACGGCGTTTCCCGCGGCGGGCGCATGACGGCGCCCCGGGCCCGCCGCTAGATGTCACCGTTGCTCTTCGCCGAGTTTTCGGCACCCTCACACCGAATTTCCAAGTGTTTCGTGCAATCGCAGAACCTTTCAGGTTGGGAAAACACCTTCGAGATCATCGAGTCCCACCGCTAACCCAGCGCTGCCGAGCCCACCGCTAAACCATGACCCTCAGTGCCACATCTGCGTGCCTTTTAAATACCTCCGGGGATGGTGAGTCCCTGAGCAGCCTGTTCCAGTGCTTGACAACTTCCACGAAGATATTTTTCCTGATATCCAATCTAAACCTCCCACGGTGCAACTTGAGGCCATTTCCTCTGGTCCTGTCACTTTTGACCTGGGAGAAGAGACTGACCCCCATCTTGCTACAACCTCCTTTCAGGTAGTTGTAGAGAGCGATGAGATCTCTCCTGAATGTCCTCTTCTCCAGGCTAAACACCCTCAGCTGTTCCTCACAAGATTTGTGGTCCAGTCCCTTCACCAGTTGTGTGACCCTTCTCTGGACTCATTCCAACAGTTCAATGTCTTTCCTGTAGCGAGGGGCCCAAAACTGAACACAGGATTCAAGGTGTGGCCTCACCGGTGCCGAGTACAAGGAGATGATCACTGCCCTGGTCCTGCTGGCCAAAAAGCACACCCAGGTGTGTCTGACACAAGCACCCACGCGTGGGGTAGGTTTTGCAGAAGTGCTCTTGGGGTTGGTTTTATCTGGAACTGAAATGGTTTGGAAGGAGTTCTCCTGCCTATGGATAAAACCTTTAAAATCCACATCCTGCACGGAGTACACTATGCCTGAAGACCACAAATGGAAATAATGGACTTACTCGAGTCTGTTCTTACTGGAACAAATTATGATTGTCTCAATGCCAGAAAATTAGTCAATACCATTTAATTAAGTTTATCTTTGACAGAACTTCACGTTGCCATTTGTTCTAAAGTAACGTGTCAGGTTACAGTTCCCAAGCTGGTACAAAAGCATAGAATCATAGAATTGTTTGGATTGGAAGGGATCTTTAAAGGTCAACTAGTCCAAACCCTTTGCCACGAGCAGGAAAAATGGCTTACGTTTTGATTCAAATTTTGAGGGTTTGTCTCTCCCCTATGAACTCTGAAAACTACATAGATGAGTTTATAACATATTGCATTCAAAAATTTGGATTAACAAAGTGTTCTTAAGGCTGAAAAAATCAAGCACAGATGTTGTATGTAACATTGTCTCTGCATCCTGTGTTTTCTCTTTTCTTCAGAAGTAGTAATACTATGTGTGCAAGTGCACTGCTTATTTTGCCCTGTGTATTCTTTCATCTTCAGCTGGGATGGCCTTTACTTCATCATCATTCAATGCTTTGTTTTATCTGCATTGAAAACAATGAGATATAACATTCATATCCTATGATGATGACTGAATTAGTAATTTCTTTGTCGACACTGTTGTAATAGTTTACAATATCTATATAAAATCATACTATGGGTGATTTTGTCCAGGGCAACCTGGACAGTGTTGTGAGGCAGAGTTTAAAATTGCCAAACTACCATTAACTTTGGTGGTCACAGTGAGATGTCTCGGAAAAGCTTTTCAAAGCACTCTGTTTTTATACTATATTAGGTATTCAGAAAGCCACTATAACACATTAAACTTTGGCTGGAACTGTGAGTACTCAGAACACTTGGCCAGATGTTTCACATGGGATGTGTAAGAAGTGAAAACTTAGTGATGACCAGGTTAGTTAAGCTTTCTGTTGAGTCCTACCTTGTGTTACGTACAAGAAGCAGATATGGTATCTCGTTTTTTAGGCAGCATGCAACTGTCTTGATGCTAAGAGTATACTATTTTTTTTTTCCCCTGTAGTGATCTCCTTAATTTACCACCCATTTTCTGCATTATTGAAGAAACCCCATACAAAGAACAACAAAAACAACAGAAAAATAAATGTGACAAAATTATAAGGACAAGAGCAGTTGTGATCACTGTAGAGCAAAGTGCATTACAAGGAGCATGCACAGAAAAGAGCACATTAAAAAGGGACAGGCATTTGTAATTTTCATACTGCTTATCTTAATAGTTTCTTTACTCTCAGGCATAATACTCTTTTTAATACTCTGTGTAATTCCCTAGCTTTTTAGAAAAACCAAATGAAAACATCAAGCTAGATTTCGGGGAATCATAACACCCCCCCATAGGGGTCATCAGCAAGATGGTAATCTTTGGATGCTTCTGACAACCATCTGCTACGTGAGCTAACAGTGTCATTGACAGCAGTTGCACGAAGTTATTTTTTAAACTGTCAGTAGAAAGGAAGAAAAGGTGTGCATCCTATGGGTTCCCTAATGTCTTGCTGGGAGTCGAGAAATTTTCCCATACCATCCAAGTACTTGGGAAGGAAGTCCTGGCTGATTGACTGGATCCTCAAAGACTGAACCTTCTCCCTGCCATTGTGTTTTGTCCCACTATTCTTCTTCCCTGAGTCCTTCATCTCATTTCTCTTTGTCACCAGTAGCTACCTTAGTGCTGTCTCCAGTTTTCTGGCTCACTCTTGATTCAGCTTTCCTTGGTTTTCTGTCTTCTGAGCCCAGTCCTCTCCAGTATTAGATTAGATCAGCTGATATCCCTTCCAAACCTGCAAGTTTCCCATTATTTCCTGACTCTTATCCCAGGTAGTACCACACTGTCATTTCTTCCAGCTCCAGTAGTAGTTTCTCTCATCCCATTCTGCACAACAGGGTCCATTTTAAGTCTTGGAGCCCTTGACCATAGGGCATTTTCCTGAATGTACCCTCACTGCAAGCCAAGTTATTTTCCTGCCTGTATTTAAGTTAAGTAGGTTTTATCTTCCTGAGGAACTTTACCTCTTTTCTTCAGTGTACTCTGCCTGAAAGATCTCAGAGAAGATGCTTCCTTATCTGTTGAATGAGAAGCGAGTGTAGTTGAGGACTGTCTTACATTCTGTCTCAAATTTTGTGGTTAAATCAGCTTGGTCTTATAAGGAGACAGAAACCAGACAGCATGTCTTCCAGCTCATTCCCTTCAATGTTAGGTGCCCAGATGATCAGACCATCTTGTTTGAACTCTTACATGCTGCAAACCCTTATTTTTCACTCGGTTAGTGTGTACTGGATCTGATAAATTGAATTTTGACACCGAGATGATCATAGTTCTTTAAATGAGAATTGGAAAGCCTGAGGAAAAACATGCAACCACACTTGGATGAGAAACAATGTGAGTTGCTGCCTTTGTCAATACAATGGTGTTTTTCTGAGAGCTGACATGGTGACACTGTGTAATACAGTTATAAACCCATTAAGCAGATGGAGTTATACTATGTGATGCTTCTGTCGTGTTTCTTGTTGCAGGGTTTTTTTTCACTATATTCTTCTGTTTTCCAGAAAGATGTAGGACATGAAAATTCAACTGCAACTTTGAGTAGTTGTGCTGTTTTCTTTTTTATACAAGCAGAAATGAGGAGTAAACTTAATTCTCATTAAGCGGAATTTTATTTGATCCTCTCCTAAGTAGAATTGAGTGCCATTTAAATACTCCATTATAAACCTACAGAAAGCAAATAATGTCACTGAGGATATTAGCTGAAAATGCGTGAAAGTTAAGGATTGTGTTGAGTAACTTAAGTTACTCATTGTTTGTCAACTTTTATCGACAATGAGAATATGGGTATTTTACTTGGAAAAGCCTTATAATATTTAGACATTGATGACTGGTGAAAGTTAATCTAAGGAGGTCTGATTTATATGGGTTTATGCCTCGTGCCCAGACAACATAACCGATTTCCAAAATTTATGTTTTCTTAAAGCTGTATAATGTTTAATTTAGAAACAGTTTCTTTAGTACTGAATGCATTAGTACACAACATTATCAGTTCAGGAGCTGGGGTGTTCAAGTATTTTTGCCTTTGAAATACCCTAATGTTTGTGAACTCTTTCAAAAACTTTGATTTTAAAAAACCCTCTTCTGAAACAAAGAAGAAACACACAGAAGTTTTCCGACTTTAAAAAAATAAAGTTACTTCAAAATTCTAATTAGGGTCAGCAGCTTAGGTGTATAGAGGAAGGTGATGACTGTGTTTGGGTTAATATTATTATTTCTCTTCTTTTGAGAAAGCACCTGGAGACCCCTTTTGTGATCAGCTCCCCACTGGGTATTGTACATACACATAACAGCCTCTGGTATGCAGAAGGTCAGACTAGAAGGTGTTCAAGTCCCGTCTGGCCTTACTCTATGAATAATAGAAGACATTTGCTACCCAATGTTTACAATGAAAATAGACCTGGCAGATGGTGAGGAACCATGGAGGTACTCTGAATTCATACTTTATAGCCAGCTAACGGAGACTGATAGGCGACTCGCCCAGGGTCACAGAGAAAGTTGAGTTAGTACCAAGAGTTAGATTGAGCACCAAACAAGTGGCTTGGCCAGAAGCCTGGCCTTTCTTTTTCAGTCCCTAGTACTTAGGGACTTAGTGCAGAGGCTGGATGCCATTGCCAGCTCCTCTTTAGTTCCTTTTGAGAAAGTAAAACTGCTATGAAGCAACCTTTGCTGTCTCCACCTGGAAAGGATGTACCAAGGCCCAGCATTGGAGTGACTGTAAATGTGCTGGAGCAGGACTTAGCAACTAACTTCTTCTCAACATGCTTAACGAGGGCAGGAAACAGCCTCATGCTAAGCAACCGTTTTCTATTTTCACTGTAAAGATGATGGATTCATAAGTGCATTTAGCAAACCGAATAAGCTGACTTTAGCAGTGATGGTTTCAATCAGCCCTTTGGACTGCCTGTGTCCAAATTTTAAATCTTTGCAACATCTCTAAGGATTCTCACTATTCATAAAGTTGGGTTTTTTCTGCCCATCCCAGCCCCTTTGCTCTGCCTTCCGTTGTCCTTAGAACAGACTCTGCAAAATACATGAAAGAGGGAAGAAAATGCTGCTTCAGCTGCTCAGTGGTTGTGATATTTGCCCAGAAAAGCTGGAGTTTGG